TCACAGCCCCTCCCCACAAACCCAGCCCCGCCACCACTATCCCGGAGACCCGAGCGGCCCCCGCGGGCCCCAGCTCCCTCCCCTGGCAGGCACCAGGCGCCCCCTCCTGCCAGAACCCCCAGGACCCCCACCACAGAGGTGCCAGAACAGGGGGCGCCCTCGTCCTGTCCCAGGACCAGTCCCAAGCACCAGTCTGTCCCAAGCACCAGTCTCACTGTCCAGGGCCCAGCGTCCCCTGAGTTCTCCAAACGCTGCGCTCGGCGTGGACACTCACCACAGGTGCAGCCGCCTGAGCCCCGATGACCCAGGACCAAGGGGTGACCTACTGCCAGTAAGCTCGGCCCGCTGGGGACAGGGTCCAGGCTGAACCTGGGGCTGGGGTCAGGGGACCTAGGGCCGGGCTCGGGTGAGCCTGGGGCTGATCTCCTTGCAGGCGTCCCCTCTGGCCACTCCCGGCCTCAGGGCCCAGGGCGGCCCCGTGAGCTGGACATCCGGTCCCTGAACACGCTGAGCTCTGCTGCCCCTGTGTGGCCGCCAGCAGCATCGCATGCACTCGGCCAGCAGGAGGCACTGCCCAGACCTGGGGCCCCTGGGCGGGCAGGGGCAGAGAGCAGGGGGCAGACGGCATGGCCAGCAACACCTGGAGGAGGGTGTCGGGGTTCATCCTGGGGCCCAGAGAGCGTGTGCATCCTGGACCCCATCCTCGCCCCACGTCCTTTCGGCGCAGGTGAGCTTTGGGGTCCTTGGAACAACCTTACAGGAAGGGTCACACCGGGCGCCAGGCACACCTGGGAGCCCTGTGCTGTGGGGAGCCGGGCCCTGTGCCTGGGCACCTGTGTTGGCAGGTGTGGGCACGGCAGGTGTGTCAGCTGTCCTGAGGGCTGCAGGCCCAGCCCAGGGGCAAGGGCAAGGCCTGAGGATCACACGCTACTCCCTGCTCAGCTGGGGCTGCTGTATTATCGCTGCAGGTTGTGAGGACACTTCCCACGTGCCCCACGGGTGACCTCCCAGGCCCCATTCTGCAGCCTGTCCCAAGGTCACGTGCAGCAGGTCCCAGGCAGGCGTTCACTCCCGGGTGTCCCCTAGGAGGACATCTGGACATACCGGCTGTGAGGCCCTGTCTCCTCCCAGACCAGGGTTGTCCCCACAGGGACCACAGAGCGAGGCTGGGCACCCCCTGGTGCAGCCTGCACCTTTGCAGTTCTGCCATCGCTGGGTCACCAGACCCCTCCCCACAACCTCGGGGCTCTGAGCGGTGGCTCTGTGGGCAACAGGTGGGCAGCCTGGGACAGGGTCAGGGGTCCCCCTGGAGCTTCACCAGGGCTGGGGTTCAGGGTTGCACTTGGGGCCAGGCCAGGACTCGGTTCTGGGCCAAGTGAGCAGGTTCATCAAGCTGCTCAGAGACTCACCAGTTCTCCTGCCTGGGTGGCGGGAAGCTCCCACCCCCACCCCAAGGCATTGCCCCAGCACCACTCCGGGAGTTGTTACCCAGACCCAGGCCCAATGCCCATCTGCGACAGGGCAGGACCAAGCCTGGGCATGGGTCTGGGACCTGGGTGGGTCGCAGTCTGTATCAGGGTCGGGGGGGTTTCTGAATGGATGGCTGAGATGGCCAGAGAGTAAGGGGGTGGGTGCTGAGGATGGTTAGTGTAGGGGGTCTGCATGGATCAGAGAGAGGCGCCAGGCCAGGGCCCATCAGTCTGGGGGGTCTGAACACGCTGAGCTCTGCTGCCCCTGTGTGGCCGCCAGCAGCATCGCATGCACTCGGCCAGCAGGAGGCTCTGCCCAGACCTGGGGCCCCTGGGCGGGCAGGGGCAGACAGACACCCCTGCAAGCCAGGCCCCCGGGGGTGAACTGGGAAACCCACACCCAGAGGGAGGCAACAAGTAAAACAGTCGGTCCAGCTCTGCCGGGGCTCTGGTGAGGGAAAGGCCCCTCCCAACTCTCCACAGCCCCAGGCTGGTAGGAGCCAGGACTCAACCTCCAGGGACCCTAAATGTCCTGACAGCCATCGACATGGCTGGTCCTGTTGGGTGACCCGCCAGGGGCCTGGCAGATGCAAACGTTGCTCCCACGGGGACTGCCTACTTGGGGCACTGAGACTTCAGCCTCAGAGAAGGCTCAAGATAGAGATCTGGGAACGGAAGCCCACTAACAGAGAAAATCATAATGAAGCAAAAACAACAAGCCACCTCAAACGAGAATCGGTGAAACAAGGAACCACAGAGGAAGACCCCAGGAAGTGCCAGTTATCAGAACCATCAGACTCAGACTCAGCAGGGTGTGGGTTGAAGGGGCTTTTTTAAAATTGAAGAATGTATTCAAGTCTGACGAAATAAGATAAAAGTGTTCAAGAAACCAATAGATTTGAAAAGAGGTCCTAGAACTGAAAAAGGTGGTGTTTGACAGTGGAATCAAAACAGCACACAGGACACAGCTGGAGCGAGAATTTGTGATGGAGAAAAAGTTAGACACAACGTAAGGCAGCACAGAAAGGCTAAGAGAGAGGACACGGACAGCAACACCAAGTACCCTGGACACTGGAGCAAACATGCCACACCACGGACTCATCTTCCAAAGAAGTGGGCGCACAGAGAGGCAAGGGCCCAGAATTGTCCAAAAGAGATGAGAGACTGGGCCCAGCACTCTGGAGAATCCCAGCAGACCCCACACAGGAACACGTTCTAGTCTGCTCGGGCTGCTGTAATTAGCACTGCACGCTGAGCACAGAAACCACAGATTCTCTCTCCCTGTCCTGGAGGCCAGAGGTCCAAGATCAAGGTGTCAGCACTCGGCCTCTCCTGAGGCCTCTCTCCGTAGCGTGTAGACGCCGTCTTCTCCCGTGTCCTCACGTGGGCACCCTCTGGGCGTGTCTGTGTCCTAATGTCGTCCTCTTATGAGGCCACCAGCCAGACTGGATCAGGGCCCACCCTAGTAACCCTACTTCAGCTCGATCACCCCTCTGAAGGCCCCATCTCCGAGTGCAGTCACATTCCGAGGTCCTGGAGGTTCGGGCTTCAACATTTGAACTGGGTGGGGGGGACACAGTTCAGTGCATAACATTAAATAAAAGCAAGATGCAATTCCTGACACACTGAGGTGAACACTCAGCGGAAAAGAGACGATTTTAGAAGGAGGTAGCCAAGCACACCGGGCAGGGCAGGCTCCGCCGTGGCCGCTGGTCAGGACTCAGTAGCTCAGATCACACTGGCAGATCCGCCTGAGCGGCCGCGGCCCCTACACACCATCCAGTCCCCTCAGTGACCACACGGCGAGGCTTGGGTGCCTCCTGGTGGCCGTCCTGCGCCATCGCACACGCCCCAGACCAGGCGGTTTCCCAGACCCGGGAGAGAGGTCACAGGGCAGCACCTCCTGGCACCCCACCCACCGTCTGGGTATTGCATTAGACCCCAAAGTGTAAAATAAATACCCGTGAGTCCACACTGATATACGTACATAATGGATTCACTGATAGAAATGAAAAATTGATGAAAAATAAAAATGGGGGAGAAGAGACAGCTCTCCCTGAAGAACCCCAACAATTTACGGAGATGTTCCCCCCTCACGCGGGCAGAGGGTACCGCCCCCTGGAGCGTGGGGTTCGTGGCCTCTCCAGGTTGGTTCCTGCTAGAACCAACTGTCTTTATAGATCCTGCAGAGCTGATTTGGGGGCAGGGAGCTGCCACTCACTGGCCTCTGCTTCTTGGCAGGACTGGAGCCCCTCGTGTTCTATTTCTCAGGCTGCCCTGTAGATAGATACCCGTGTGTTCTCTTCACTACCACGCCCTGAATCGTGTGTGTGCATAACATTCCATACACCTTTGCGTGTTACGCCCATCATATGATTTCCCTAGAACACAGCCCCTTGTGGCCGTGCTGCGTCATTGCACGCCCCGCCGGACCCTGGCTCCGGAGACTTGGTCCCGCCAAGGTACGGGGGCGTCTCGGGCAGACCAAGAGCCACAGGCTTGGACGTGAACACGTGTGTGGAGTGTGTGTGTGTGTGTGTGTGTGTAAGTGTGCGTGTGCTCACACACATGTCCTAGCTCCACCCACCGAGAGGCCCTAGGAACAATGATAAGGACATATGAGGGGGAGGGAGGGTCCCCACGTGCGGTCAAATAGCTCCGCGTGTGGAAACTAAAGGAGAGGAGTGTGGTGATGCTCCTGAGAGTTTCTGTAGGGCTGCAGTGACCTCAGTGCGGACAAACGTGCCCTGTCCTCCTCGGGTCCGTCCTTGCAGCTGGGATTTTCGACACAAGCATGGAGACTTGGACGGAACCCTTTGCGGAGGGGTCAAGGCGGCCAGATGTGGGGGAGGGGACGTGGGGGTCATCGTGCCCCTTGCAGGCACCAGGCTGGCTGTGACTGCCGTCCACAGCGGAGAACAGCCAGAGGACGCTGTGCCGGCCTGGCCGTCCAGGGACAGTGGGAGAGGTCAGCAACAAGGGACAGGGAAAGTGGCCTGGGTCCCTGCCCTTCATTCCTAATCAGTAAAACATCCACAACTAACAGATGTGCCTCTGCCCGACACACAGGGCCACGAGAGAATTCCACACCCCTGCACGCCTAGGAGGGTGGGCGGGAACACAGAGGGGAGGCCGACCCGGGGCAACAGGGGAGGCGGTGCCTGAATCGCGGCCTCGGCCCAGGGAACCGGGGGCCCGCAGGGGAGGCGGAGCACAAGCCTCTGCATCCCGGCTGCAGTGGCACCTGCGGCCACAGGTAACGGGGCAGCAACAGCAATGGGGCCTGTGACCCCGTCCCTGCAGCCCCCGCCTCACCGCAGCAGCAGAGCCTGTGAACCTCACAACACCAGACGCGGAAGCGGTGCCAGCTCTAACCGGACCCCCACCATCTCCCTCCCCCGCGGCTGGGGGCCTGGGACTCAGGGGACCCCGGACACGAAGGCAAAGCTCATCTTCCCCAGGGAACCAGGTGGTGACGCCAGTGACACTGGTAGCATCAGGGCACCAGCGACTCCGGAGGCACAAGAAGCGATGACGGGGGCTCGGGAGACACCCCCCGACAGAGGCGGCGGAGGGCGGAAGGTGAAGATTCCCAAGTATAGCCGGGGGAGCGCAGGTAGAGAAGCCGAAAACCTGTGTGATGGCGCCACCTGCTGGAAGCCAAAGGAAAGGCCTCTAATTTCGAACCTGTCACCGCTTCAAAGGTGCAGGGGGAGGAATCCCCACTCAGCGCCGGGGAGAAGCCCGGACCCTGTACCACAGAGAAGTGGCAGCTCTCCAGAAACCAAACTTAAAGTCACGGAGTATTGCGGGCTAAATGACAGACAATGCACATAGCTGTCACGCAGACACTCAACAAGCTGTAGGAAAATCAAAAGGGCACTTCAGTCAGCTCTGAAGTGAATTTAATGAACAGAAGAAATACTTTACCAAAGAGATTGAAATTCTAAAAAAGAAACAAACAGAAATTCTGCAGCTTAAGAATTCAATCAGTGAGATGAAAAACGCATTAGAAAGCATTGGAAATAGAGCAGACCACGTGGAAGAGAGAATTAGTGAACTGAAAGGTAGAAATCTAGAAATGGCACAAGTAGAAAAGGAAAGAGAATTAAAATATTAAAAATGAAGAAATTCCATGAGCTCTATCTGACTCTGTTAGGAAGGGCAATGTGAGGGTGATGGGTGTCCCAGAGGGACAAGAGATAGTTTATTTAAAGAAATAATAGCTGGGAATTCCCTGCTGGTCCAGTGGTTAAGACTCAGTGCTTTCAGTGCCATGGGCCTGGGTTCAATCCCTGGTCAGGGAACTAAGATCCTGCAAGCCACACCATATGGCCAAAAGAAAAAAAAGAAAAGAAATAGAAAAAGAAAGAAAGAAATGATAGCTGAGAACTGCCCAAACCTGGGGAGGAACTGGATATGCAAGTCCATGAAGCTAAGAGGACACCGAATCACCTCAATGAGAAAAGACCTTCTCCAAGACACCGTATATTAAAATTGTCAAAAGCCAATGACCAAGAATTTGAAAGGCAGCCAGGAAGAATAGATGGCCACCTACCAAGGAACCCCCCTGAGGCTACCAGCAGATTTCTCAGCAGAAACCCTACCAGCCGGGAGACAGCGCAATGACGTTCTCACAAGACTGACAGACAAAAGCTGTCACCCAACTATCCTCTATCCAGCAAAGTTACCACCCAGATATGGAGAAAGAAAGGCTTCCCCAGACAAACAAGCCTGAGAGGGCCCTTCACCGCGAGACCTGCCATACGAGAGATGCTGGAAGGAGCTCTTCTACCAGAAACAAAAAGGCAAAGGCACACAAAACTGAATAAAGCGACAAACAGACAGAATTGGCAACTGCAGCTCTTTAACAGAATAAGTAAAAAAAAAAAAAAAAAGACTAAGAATCAGCCTACCAATGCAGGGGACACAGGTTCGAGCCCTGGTCCAGGAAGATCCCACGTGCCACAGAGCAGCTAAGCCGGTGCGTCACAACTACTGAGCCTGCGCTCTAGAGGCCATGCGCCACAGCTACTGAGCCCACGCACTTAGAGCCCGTGCTCTGCAACAAGAGAAGCCACCGCAATGAGAAGCACACGCATCACAAGGAAGAGTAGCCCCCGCTCACCACAACTAGAGAAAGGCCACGCACAGGAACAAAGACGCAACACAGCCAAAAATAAATAAATAATTTTTCTAAAAAAAAGAAAAGAAATACACTACAAGAAGAAAGCTGGAAAAATCACAAATACGTGGAGACTGAAGAGCATGCTATGAACACCCATTGGGTCAATGAGCAGAGCAGTGGTTACCAGAGCGGGAGGGTCGGGGAGGGCAAAATGGGTAAAGGGGGCTAACTGTATGGTGATGGGTGGAAACTAAATTTTTGGTGGTGAGCACGCTGCAGGGTGTGCAGAAGTAGAAATACATTGTACATATGAAATATATAATATTATAAACTAATGTTACCTCAAAAAAAATAAATCTTAAATAAACAAAATAAAAAGGTGCAGTGGGAGGCCTGAGCCCCCGAGTGAGAGGTCCAGCTCCCGACTGGAAAGACCATTCGGGGTGGGGGGACACTGAGACCCGGCCCAGGTTTGGGAGCAGCCCGGACACCAGCTACCACCTTCAAGTGACCCTTCAATGTCCCAAGGAGACAAGAATGCCAGCTGAGCGTGAACTCCTGACCACACCCCTGGAAGGACAAGCAGTGCTGGGCGGTCAGTCGGGCCCTGGCTGGGCTGTCTGCGACTCAGCCCGTGAGCCAGCGCGCGTCCCAAACCTCAGCTAGAATCTCCATGGAGGTGGGAAGGATTCTCCTTTCCATGGATGCAAATCCAGCCTGAGTGTCATGCTAGCAGCCGTATCAGCACTAAAGGTGTCACTCAACGCTGCTGTCCCAAAACCACTGGCAAAGTTTCACCTCAAATTGTTGGCCCTCGCGAGGGACAAACCTCCGACCCGTGTGTGCAGATGCGAAAGCTTGAGAAACGGCTCCAGGAGGTCGCCCAGCGCATCCACCTCCAATCTGGGTCCCTCACAGCCCCTCCCCACAAACCCAGCCCCGCCGCCACCATCCCGGAGACCCGAGCGGCCCCCGCGGGCCCCGGCTCCCTCCCCTGGCAGGCACCAGGCGCCCCCTCCTGCCAGAACCCCCAGGACCCCCACCACAGAGGTGCCAGAACAGGGGGCGCCCTCGTCCTGTCCCAGGACCAGTCCCAAGCACCAGTCTGTCCCAAGCACCAGTCTCACTGTCCAGGGCCCAGCGTACCCTGAGTTCTCCAAACGCTGCGCTCGGCGTGGACACTCACCACAGGTGCAGCCGCCTGAACCCCGATGACCCAGGACCAAGGGGTGACCTACTGCCAGCAAGCTCGGCCCGCTGGGGACAGGGTCCAGGCTGAACCTGGGGCTGGGGTCAGGGGACCTAGGGCCGGGCTCGGGTGAGCCTGGGGCTGGTCTCCGTGCAGGCGTCCCCTCTGGCCACTCCCGGCCTCAGGGCCCAGGGTGGCCCCGTGAGCTGGACATCCGGGCCCTGAACACGCTGAGCTCTGCTGCCCCTGTGTGGCCGCCAGCAGCATCGCATGCACTCGGCCAGCAGGAGGCTCTGCCCAGACCTGGGGCCCCTGGGCGGGCAGGGGCAGAGAGCAGGGGGCAGACGGCATGGCCAGCAACACCTGGAGGAGGGTGTCGGGGTTCATCCTGGGGCCCAGAGAGCGTGTGCATCCTGGACCCCATCCTCGCCCCACGTCCTTTCGGCGCAGGTGAGCTTTGGGGTCCTTGGAACAACCTTACAGGAAGGGTCACACCGGGCGCCAGGCACACCTGGGGGCCCTGCGCTGTGGGGAGTCAGGCCCTGTGCCTGGGCACCTGTGTTGGCAGGTGTGGACACGGCAGGTGTGTCAGCTGTCCTGACACATTAAACTTAAAACTGTGATCACCTGGATCAATCCCAAAGCTGGTCCGTCTTCAGACCTATCTGTCAGAAGCTGGGTTCAGTGAGCAGTTTGACGCCTAAAGCTCATAGAGCTAATCCCACAATATCACTTTGAGACTGAAACGTGCCCTTACAGAGTTCCTTCATGCTGGACGCACGCGTTAGAATTCTTTGAAATCCTTTCGGTGCGAAGTGATGTTGTGATGCGTTCCTGCAGAGGCCAGCGGGTGTCCCTCCAGCTGGACACCCACCTTCTGGCGGGGCTCTCCGTGTGAGCGGGAGGGGCCGCCGGGCAGGGCTGGGTCTCGGGCTCCCCCTCGTGGCCATCCTGCGCCACTGCACGACCTGCCAGCCCCGCCCCAGCCAGGTGGGCTCTGGGGCAGGTGAGCTTTGAGGGCATCCAAACGTCCCCCAGGAGGAGGATAAACGTCCCTCCTCTCCTCGCAGCCAATCCTGCTCGTGATCAAGGCCTAGCGTGACGTCACTTGCTGGGGAGGCCCTGACACAGCCCCACCCGCCCTGCTCTCCGCAACACCCAAGCCGCCATCCATAGGCGTGACACCCCTCTCCCCGCAGGTGCACAGCCTCTCCTCCTAGGAAGTGAAAGTCGGCCCATCCTCAGCGCCACAGACACAGGGACCCGCGATGCGCCCGCGCGCGCAGCCGCGCTCTCACGCCCCGCGCTGCAGAGTGTCCCCTGCAGGCCGCAGCCCAGCGCAGGTCTGCGACCCCTCGGGTGAGGAACCAGCAGTCTCCTGCAATAACCTGCAGTCGGCCTGCAGGCATTCGTGAGCTTTCACCCCCGTGTGAGCACCAAGGCCCATCAACCCCCAGGAAGAACACGTTTCCTGGGGCGAACAGCCGTGAGGTGGGTGGAAAGTCCCCGAGCTCCGCTGTGGGCAAACCATTCCCAAGGTCCTCCGTTTTCTGCCTCATTTCATAAAAAATGAATAAAGAATCTTTTCCACATAAATTTTACAGTGAAGGCTTGATTCACAGGCCAGGGTTCAACTGGATGAAACATCACCACTGTGTCTTCTGTCGCTGAGTGGCCTTCCCCAGCCACGATGATTGTCAAGAACAACGTTCCCTAGTGAAATCCTGCAGAACCAAATTTCGGCAAGAGATCTGGTTTCTCCACCCAGGTTTAGCCAAAGCAAGTGTTATCACTCACACTTCTATGCTCCGTCCCTTCCACAGTGTATTTATTATTTCAGCTGCAATATTTCTCTTCAATTTAATGAAAGGTGGAGCTTTATTTTGAGACTTCCAGTGAAACATAAAGGATCGATCCTGTGCACTTACAAACTTACTCTCCCAAAATCCCATTAGAATAAGAATACAGACAAGGAGGGCAAACACCTACCCGGCTGCTTCCACGCGCCAGGCCCTGTCCTGGGTGGGTTACGGAGTCACCCGGTTTGATCCTCGCAGAGCCCCAGCTTACAGACCAGGAAACAGAAGCCAGGTGCCCAGGTCACCCGGCTTGGAGCGCCACAGCCAAGATCTGAGACGGCGGAGGTCCGGTGATGCAGTCAAAGCTGAAATCTAAGTCAGCAGCCGGGAAAGCACACAGCAGCCCACCTTCCACTGCAGCACCAGAAACACTCAGTACCTGGGGGCGGCAGGATGGGGGCACGTCCCAGAGCAGAGGACCAGGGGACAGACAGAAGGGGATATTTGGCCCAGATGTGCAAGGTCAAGAAACCACCAGACTTTCTGAGTCACTTCTGAACTTGGGAAGCGACATCCACCTTCATCCTTTTGGCCAGAACTGTCACACGGCTAAGCGGGTGGGGCTTGGAGACGTCCATTTCCAGCCTGTTAGTACAGGAAGGCCAGGGACACGGGACCCGGCAGACTTAACTGCCACGAAGTGTCACTTAAATGGAGCAAGAAGACACATGTCCAGACACACGAGGGCTAAGAGAACTTCCGCTCCAAACCCGTTTCGGGTCCACTAGGACAAAATTCAGCTGTGTGACCACAAGGAAGTCACTGGCATGGCTCACGTGAGCAGAGTCCATGGCGAGCAGAGTTCATACCGCCCTCCACCGACCAAGTCAGACACACGGTGGGCGGGCAGGCGGGTGCAGGTGGCCCCACGGCTTTCCAACCTGCCACCACGCGCACATTCCAGCAGGAGGAGAAGTGTGAAGAAGGGGCCTTCTTTCCAGCAGGGGAGGCTGGGCCCGCGTGGGGATGTGGCCCCAGGATGGCTGGCAGCCCGGGGAGGAACCTCAGAACGTTCTTCCTCGGGAGGCCAGGTGGACCCAGTGGATAAAATTAATTAGCAACTCACAGTGAAAGAACATGGCATTTTGCATTTTAAAAGTAAACCCAGGGCTGCCCTGGTGGCGCAGTGGCTGGGAGCCCGCCTGCCGATGCAGGGGACGTGGGTTCGTGCCCCGGTCCGGGAGGATCCCACGTGCCGCGGAGCGGCTGGGCCCGTGGGCCATGGCCGCTGAGCCTGCGCGTCCGGAGCCTGTGCTCCGCAACGGGAGAGGCCACTACAGTGAGAGGCCCGCGTACCGCAAAAAAAAAAAAAAAAAAATGGAAACCCAAGTCTAGACAACAATTAGTCGAGGGGAGAGGGGTCCAAGGGGAATGAGAGGCTAACATCTTGATGCTCCACAGGGAAGGATGGAGACGCTTCCTGTAAACCTGTTAGAACAAGTTAAGTGCATGGAACGTTCAATAGTGCTCAGTCTGTTCATATGATGGAGTATCACTCAGCCATAAAAAAGAACAAAACAGTGCCATCTGCAGCAACATGGATGGACCTGGAGATGATCGTACTGAGTGAAGTAAGTCAGACAGAGAAACAGAAATATCAAATGATAGCGCTTACATGTAGAATCTAATTAAAATGAACTTATTTACACAACAGAAACAGACTCACAGACCTCAAAATCAAACTATGGTTACCAAAGGGGAAACGTGGGGGAAGTGACAAATTAGGATATTGGGATGGACATATACACACTCCTCTGTATAAAAGAGATAACTAATAAAGACCTACTGTATAGCATGGGGAACTCTACTCAATATTCTGTAATAACCTAGATGGGAAAAGAATCTGAAAAAGAATGGAGATACATATATATCTGAATCACCTTGCTGTACACCTGAAACTAACACATTGTAAATCAACTATACTCCAGTAACATATTTTTTTAAAAAGAAAGAAAAATTTCAAGTTAAGTGCACAGAACGTTCTATAGTGCAATGTCCATTAATAAGATGGAATATTACTCAGCCTTAAAAAGGATGGAAATCCTGACACAGGCCTCAACGTGGATGAACCTGGAGGGCATTGAGTGAAACAAACCAGTCACAAAAGGACAAATCCCGTGTGATCCCACTCATACGAGTTCCCTAGAAGGGTCAAACTCACAGAAACAGAAAGGATGGTGGGGGCCCGGGGCTGGGGGAGGGGCTGGGAGGGACTGTTTAATGGGGACAGAGTTTCAGTTTTACAAGATGAGAACAGTTCTGGGGATGGAAGGTGGTGATGGTCTCACAACCATATGAGTGTACTTAATGCCACCAAGTTGTTCACCTAAAAAAGGTTAACAATGGTCAACTTTATGTTATGTATAGTTTACCACAATTTTAAAGTCAGTGAATAAAATGTATTTTTACCCTTAAAAAACATTCAACGGTGAATTACAGAAGTTGTTTTTTAATTCCACTTTGCCAGACCTGCAGAGGATAAAAAGTATGGTGGAAAATGTGACGGATCCAAAAGACCGGGGACGGAGAGGGGAGAGGGTTTAAAAAAAAAAAAAGATGACAAACACATCAAATGAGATGGTAGAAAGAGGTCCAAATATAACAGAACTCACAGTAAATGAATATGGATTAAGCTCATCTTTTCAAGCAGAGATTTCCACATAGCACGTAAACAACAAAGTCCACTTTTGAAACAAAACTGTGCCGAGCGTCTTAGTCAGCTCAGGGTCACTATAACAAAGCACCACAGACCGGGGGCTTCAAACAGCAGACATTTATGTCTCGCAGTCCTGGAGGCTGCAAGTCCCAGATCGAGGTGCCAGCGTGGCCAGGTCCTGATGAGGACCCTCTTCCTGGCTTGCAGACGGCCGCTGTGTCCTCACGTGGTGGGGAGACCCATGGTCCCTCCCTCTTATCAGGGCACTAATCCCATCATAGGACCCCACCCTCATGACCTCTTCTAACCTTAATCAACTCCCAACGGCCCCACCTCCAAATACAATCCCACTGGGGCAGGGCTTCAACAAGTGGATTTGGGCGGTGGGGGCGCGGGGACACAGACACTCAGTCCACAGCAGAGGGTTTGAGAATAAAGGGTGGGAAAACATACACCATAAAAACACAAACCAAACCAAAGCTGGTGGCACAATTCTATCAGGCAGAATGGAACTAAGTCAAAAAGGATGACTAGTGATAAAGAGAAACACGGTAACAAAGGAACCAGGAAAACCAAACCTGTTACCAAGTTAGCATGAAAATGTGCACAGCAAAGGTGACAGAAGTACAGGAAAGTGACACAATTGCCTGTGAGGTTCCAACAAACCATCTACGCCCAAAACCAATAGATGGTTCAGCCAGCAGAATCAGTGGCAATGGCTTTCCCAAACCTGACACCTCCCCTCGGTTCCCAGGACTTAGGAAGATGAGGGTGAGATGCAGGACTCCACACTTGGACACGTCGCAGGGGATTCAAGATTATGAAAGACCAACTCTACAAACTTGCAGAGAAAAAGCGAAGATCACAGACAAAGAAGCAGGGATCAGGCTGATGTGAAAACGTTAACAGCCACGCTGGATGCAAAAGCACCAAGCGTGGGAGATGCTGCAGGGCTTACTCGACTCAGCCCTGTTGGAAAACCGTGTGGCATCACCTGGAGAAGGTTAACAGCCCCTTACCTGTGTCCCAGCAGTTTTACTCCTTAGTACATACCCCAGGGAAACTCCTTTGCACATACGAGAGATGCACACACAGGAGCAGTCACAGCAGCATGGCTCGCGGTGGCAGTAACCTGGAAAATCCAAATATCCATCGATGGGGACGGGATGGGACAGCGTGGAACACTCACATAAGGGTCCTTCACTGGCACACAGAATGAATTACCAGACACGCGAAAGTATGGATAAATCTTAGTAAAACATGGAGGGAAACGCATCTCCAAAGAAGAATATATATAGCATGACACCCTTTCCATAACATTAAAAACAACTGAAACCAAAATATGCATTCAGAAATGCATATCGATTTGATAAATCTGCACAAAATGGAAACAAAGGAAAGGCGCTCCCAGGTCTCAGGGTGAAGGTGCCTCCCGTGAACGCGGCGGGGACAGGTGGGGGCCCTCGGTGAAATGCAGTCATTGTGGAGATTTCAGCTTTGGTTTGGGTGGTGGGTTTGCAGGTGCCTCCATGATTTAAAGTAACAAATTAAAGAAATGACTGTGTAAATAACGACATCCAGCGTGGACCAGTGAAGGGAGCATATCATGAACCAAAGGCGATGATCCCTCCAATTCTCTGCACTTGTCGTCCATTTAAAAAGAAGACTGTGGGTCTTCCCTGGTAGTCCATTGGTTAAGACTCTGCACATCCAGGGTTCGATCTCTGGTCAGAGAAGATCCCTCATGCCACACGGTGTGGCCATAGAAAGAAGACTGTGACCAGAATCTACACAGGATGCCTCCGAACTAATAAGAGAAAGACAATCGGATAGAAAAACAGAATATGCAAAATTCATGGAAAAGGGACCACGAATGTTCCATGGAGATGTGAGAAGATGATCAACCTCGTGAATAATCAAGGAAATTGTGAAGGTAACTCGCGATCCCAGCCCCACCACATGGGCGAGACTAACGCTACCACCTGCGTCAGGGGTGGAGAAGCCGCCAACGCTCATATTCTGCTAGTGAGAACGTGAGTGAAGACAGATGCTTTAGAGGGGAAAAAAAATACTGAAAAAATCGAGTAAAGTTAAAAGGTGCTGCTCTTTTGGAGATATAAGTGGCCCCCGTTCCTTCACAGCAGCAGAATTTCATCTGGACACCTGGGCACCCTTTCCCTGTGGACCCACATGTCCAAATTCAGGACAGTGGGGTGTGAGCCAGCTGTCTTGTGCCAGCTTCTGAGAACCACACAAAGAGATCCTACAAGCGTCCCCTTTCGAGGTCTTCAGCGCCCTGTCTGTGCCTCGGCTGAGAACCTGGATGGAGCATCAGGGCTCACAGGGGAGCCAGGAGACGGGAGGGACGTGGGTCCCCAGTGGGCTGGGATGGACCAGCAGCCTGGACACCTTCCAGACTCACGTGGGAGTGACACGAACATCCATGTCATCTAATCACCCTCCTCTCGTTTTGTGCCTCCCTGCGGGGACATAGACGAGTCCACAGTCAGGTCAGCAGGCCTTCCTCCGTGACCCAGCACCAATGAGGAAGGAGTCAATTCCACGGTGACCACTGGGCTGATGGGCACAGGGCGACCCCCAAGCAAATTCCGGTCTGGTCACCATGAAGGAGTGGCCACGGGGCGGCCACGGGGCAGCCACTGGGCGTCCACGGCAATGCCCTGCCCGCAAACCCAGCAGGCATCTTCCTCACCTGTCTTGACCTCCATCCCCATCCCCCCAGCCCCCTCTCTGCCATTCCTCCCACCCCTCGGCTGTCCAAGCCTCGCCCCCACCTGTGACACTTAATTTGATGTGTCGAGCGGGCTGGGCCACAAGAGCCCAGGCAGCATGTGAGGCTATTCTGGGTGTGTCGGTGAGGGTGTAAGCAGATGGCCTTCCCCGTGCGGCGGTCCTCACCCAATCCTGGAGGCCTGGAGAGAGGAGCAAGGAGCGGGGGGCGAGAGGTGGGCTCGCCCCTGCCTGAGCTGGGACACCCATCCTCCCCCGCCCTCGGACATCCGCGCTCCTGCCTCGTGGACCTTCGGACTCAGACTGAACGACAGCGCCGTCCTCCTGGTCCCCAGCCCACAGCTGGCAGGTCATGGGCCCGCTCGGCCTCCACGGTTGCGTGAGCCAACACCTCATAAAGGGTCTCTTCTGTTCCATATCTCTCCCACTGGCTCTGTCTCTCCAGAGAACCCTGACCAACACACCTGCTCCGAACCGCTGCTGTTCTGCTCTCAGCCCCCTGGTGCGATCCCACCTCCAGCCGTCTCCCTGGGAGAAGTCTGCCCCGGGCGCCCTGCATACTGACCCAGCTGACACACGTGAGCCCCCACCGCTAGTCTGAACCCCTCGGGCAGCGCCCAGCCTCAGACCCTCTGACTGAGCGGTCTTCTCCTTGGTCTTTCTCCAGTGAACTGGCAGTTACCTTGTTTTTGCCACAGATTAAGCCACTCACACTTCAGCCATGAGAGGCCGTGCAACACTGCAGTGTCCCATCCCTCCTCCACCTGGGCCATCGGCAAAAGGGTCCCCAGAGAGCAGATGACGTGGCGGCCATCCTAACAGGGGCGATGACGGTGGTGGCTTCTGTTCTGGGCTTATCACTAACTGGGTCTCCACCACGTTACTGGACAAAATGAATCGGATAGGGCTTCCCTGGTGGTGCAGTGGTTGGGAGCCCGCCTGCCGATGCAGGGGACGCGGGTTCGGGCCCCGGTCCGGGAAGATCCCACGTGCCGCGGAGCGGCTGGGCCCGTGAGCCACGGCCGCTGAGCCTGCGCGTCCGGAGCCTGTGCTCCGCAACCAGTGAGAGGCCCGCGTACCGCCAAAGGAAAAAAAAAAGAAAAATGAATCGGGTAATGTGAAGTTTAGCTATTACTTAATATGAGGGAGTTCGATTTTGCCAAGTTGGGTTTTTACTATGATGAAGCTATTTTCCTACAGAAAAAGTGAACGTGCTTTGGAACGGAAGAAGACGGGTCAGGAGTTCGAATGTGTTTCCGTCTTGAGGGACCGAGCTGCGTCGTGCAGGGGCAGACTCTGCCTGGTGCCACCACAGCAGGTGAGGTGCGTCTGAGCCCCCACTCCAGGAGGAGGAAGGGGGACGCGGAGGCCCCTCACCCTGGGGAAGAGGGCAAGGTCCTCGGCCTCAAACCCAGGGGCCTCGTCTTCCGCTGGCATCCTGGGCTGTCAGACCCCAGACCCAGCGAGGCAAGTACCCCACCCCCGAGGCCGGCCCTCAGAACACGGCCGTCTTGGAACCAGTTCTGGCCCAGGGCCCCTGAGGGGCCCACGCTGGGGGCTTCTGAGAGGGACTTCCCTACCAACGGGGGAACCCGCAAGGAGGAGTCCCCGCCCTCTCCTTCCTGAATTGGGATGCTGTTTTTGAGATGACAGGAGCTGTGAGCTGACGAGTGAGGCGATGACAGACGGGGAGCAGCTGGGTGGCGCTGCTGTCACTTCTGGCCATCACAGACCACCTCAGGAAGCCAGGGAAGGGCAGGCTGGGACGTCCCCATCTTGTTCCCAAGGCAAACCCAGAGGGCAGACACCTCGGGCCACGAGCCAGACAACAGCCCCGGTCATGAAAACGGTGGGTGCCGGCCTGGGCCTCATTCGGAGGCCCTCAAAGTTGGGGGTCAGGGCACATGGCCCATTAAACCAAGTCAGGACCAGTGTGCCTGGCGCCGCAGGGCCGTGGAGGCCAGTGGAGGCAGAGGTAGGAGGCTCGGACCAGCGCTGACGCCCAGGAGGACGGGGGAGCCTGGGGCTCCGTGAGCCCAGAGCCGTCTTCTCTGCCCTGGGAGTGCGCCAAGTTCCCGTCTCTGACACCGGGACACGGGGCCTCACAGCCAAGGCAACCCCAGAGCAACGGCCCCATCGCTAGGCGGAGACCCAAGGGCCAGCAAGGGGCTCCTCCGGGAAGAGGCAGGAAGCCAAAACAGACCGTCGGGGGAGGGAGCGGGACCCTGGGGCCCCTCAGACCCACTCTCCCACGGGTCCTCCCTGCCGTCCCCGTCTGACTGCCCAGAGAGACCAGGACAGGACAGAAGTGGGCCGGCCCAGCCGCCCACCGTCACTCGCTCACACCCCGCCCCTCGGCGCCCCTCCGCAGCTATCGAGAGACTGGACGCATCAAACAGGCAGAGCTGTGCCACGTTCCATACAAAACTGTAAACAAGAGTCTTTAAAATGACAGAGGCCTCCTTAGTCCCAAACTCAGCCAGAGGCCCCCACCCAGGGACCCCAGGGGAACAGACCTCCGCCCACTCTGTCCTCCCTTCCCACCCAGGCCCCCAGCAGGCGGAGGTGGGACCCTTCCCGCTCCGGCTCAGGCCGTACACACGGGCGCCCACGCTGGGCGGACTGGCCGAGCAGGGGCTGAGGTCCGCGGTCCGAAGGATTCCTGAGATGAAAAGCGGCCGGGGGTCGCCCCCACCCCCCCGGGTTCGGGCACTCTCCGCACCTAGCCCCGTTGGGAGCCCGCCCCCACCCCACCCCATGCAAGCCGCGCGGCTGCAGCCACGCGGCTCAGCGCCCTGGGGCGGCCCCTGTCACGTGTCCAGGGCGTCTCGCGTGGGTGAGGGCCCGTGGGGGCGGCCCGGCTGGCCGTGCAGCGGCGCGTGCGGCGGCACCGAGTTGCGCCGGGGGGCTGGGGGCTGCAGCTCCAGAGCCAGCGCGGGCGGTGGGAGGTCGCGCACCTGGCGGCGGTACTCCAGGAAGGTGCAGGCCTTGGTGGCGAGCGCCACCACGTTCTTGCCCACGAAGATGGCCGAGACGCGGCTGTCGCGGAAGAGAGCCATGTTGGCGGCGCGCGCCAGCACGGCCACCACGTTGACGGTGGCGAGGCTGAGCACCGGGTAGAGCATCATCTTCTGCGGCGCGACGCGCTCGCCCTGCATGCTGACCTCACTGAGCGCCACGCACGGCAGAACCAGCAGCAGCGCGTAGCAGTAGAAGAAGGTGAGGCCCTCGGCCCAGAGCGGCAGCGCGGTGCGCGGCGGCTCCCACAGGCTGGCCTGCATGTCCAGCAGGTCCAGCAGGTCCAGCGCCACCCAGAAGAGGCGGCCGCGCAGGTCCTCGCGCTTCCGGAAGGTGCGCACGTACTCCATGCGGTCGAGCGCCACGAGCAGCAGGAAGAGGCCGGGCACGCACACCGACAGCAGCAGCGTCAGCGCCTTGCGCGCCAGCGGGTCGGCCGCGCCGCGCCGCGCCGCCTTGTAGCTCTGGAAGATGAAATAGAGCTTGATCTCCAGCGCGAAGATGTAGAGAAACCAGAGAACCATGGCGTAGCCGCGCCTGGCCGTGCGCACCTCGGCGCCCGCCCACACGGCCACGTAGCGCAACACCAGCAGGAAGCACACGTCGCCCACCAGCACGATGATGCACACGCCGACCTTGCGCGGGCCCTGGTTCTGCTCCACCAGGTACGCGTCCATGACCGCCATGCTGCCCATGATCACCAGCGTGGTCAGGCACACGTGGCGCCGGTCCGGGGGCGGCAGCACCATGGTCGGCCGCCGGGGCCCCGACCTGGGCGCGCGCAGCCCCACGCTAGGCGGGACGAGGCCCGGCGGCGGCGGCGGCAGCGGCGGCGGCGGCTCTGCTCAGCCCTCGGGCATGGCGCGGGGCCTGTCCAGCCGTCCCGAGGGCGCCGCTGCTCCCGGCTGGCGAGCTCAGAATCTGAAGAGATCAGAGCAGACAGAGTCAGGATGCGGAGGGGGCGGCCTCTCCCACCCCGGCGACGTGCTTCCCGCGAGGGGCGCTGTCCCCACCCGGGGCCCCGGGCCTCGGCCGCACGCACGCGCCGATGTGCGCACGGGGGGCCGCGAGCCAGAGCGGGGCCTCCAGGGGGCGCCGCAGCCCCACCTGAGACCCGAGACCTCGTTCCCGCCACCGCCGGGGAGGAAATGGAACGGAAGTGGCTTCTCCCCGCCGCGCGCGCGTCCCCGGGGACCCGGAGGCTTGTCCCCGCTGGGCCCACGCCGCCGTCCCTCCGGCTCTGGCGGTCAGCGCCGCAGGCCCGGGATTCCGTCCCGTGGCCGTTCCCGCGGGAGCTCGGGCGTCCTCGCTCCCGGCGCCGCGCTGGGCGGGAGGCGGGCCTGCGCTCTCCGCTTTGCGCGCTCAGGGAAGGCCGGAGGAGCCGGAGCTCTGGACAGGTTTCCCGATCCAGGACTGAGAGTCATCCAGGGCCTGCGGATTCCATCCCAAAAGCCTCTCCGTGTTTCCCAACCCCTGCCTCGCAGCCCCTGCATCTTCCCTCCCTGCCTCGGCAGACTCAGTCTCCCCTCCGGTCCACCGTTCACAGGGCGTGTGGACCAGTCTCTGCCCTGCTCCCATCGTGGCTCCCTACTGCCCTGGCTGCGTCTCCTGCCATGTACATTCCCCCAGCCCCGGCGCCAGCTCACCCACGCCGCCCTGCTCACCATGAAGGGGTGGTCCCCCTGCCACTCCCTCCGCCCTGCCCTTGGGGGCAATCTCAGGAAGACTTCCCTCCGCTAACGCCCACCTGGGCCTGCTTTGGGTTCCACGGCCCCCTGCACCCCTCTCACACCCCTGGCACTGGTTGTCATGGCTGTGCTGGTCAGAGTCCCGCCGCAGGCTGCGGGTCCCCACACCTGTGCCCGTTCACACCTGGGGGACGATGGAGGCCCTGCGCCCTCACCCACCCGAAAGTCACTTGCAGGCTCACTCCCAGCCAGTCTCCCCATCCCTCCTGTCCCTCCCACAGCACCCCTGGCCCCAGGGCTCTGTTTACTGCCCTGTCTAGACAAGGACATAAAATTTAATGTCACGTGTGACTGTGGAGCCAGTGCCCAGCCTGCCCCTGGTGATACCGCAGCCCCCACTGCCTGGGGAAGGAGGTCCCCTTCCAAGTCGGCACCTCCACCCCTGCCCTCACTGCAGTGCTGCCCCACCCGGCACCCACCTCCCAGGGGTCCCTGCCGCC